ATGTAAAGCATACAATGAGACTCTTTACACAGTACAGTATAAGAGTTAAAACTCTCTAAAGTGATAACAATACAGTGTTCCTAAGTAAAGACTTTACTATGTATATTGAAAGTCAAGGAATAATATGTAGATTAACAGTACACAATACACTGCAGCAGAACAGAGTTGTAGAACGTATGTATAAGACTATCTTTAATAGTGTATGTATGTGTCTGTTATCAGCAAAGTTACCTAACAAATTCTGGGTATATGTGGTACAATATCAAATGTTTATTCATAACAGAACACCAAGAGTTGCTATTAATTTTGTAACACTATATTACAAACAGTATAATGAACATTATTAAATAGATAATATATGAGAATTCAGTACATATTGTATCATACAGAACGAACAAATGCATAAACTACAACCTAGAGGCTAACATGCACAATGGCTAGGTTATGATAACAACAGTAAAGGTCACTTAGTGTGTAATGATAATAAAGTTACTATCGAACGTAACATACAATTCATAGACAAACTAATGTCTAGGATTGAAGGGGAGAATAATCATAATGATGATACATCAAACAATGATAAAACTCTTCCTAATAACAATAATAAAGATAAAGAACCTGTTATACAATGCTCTACACAAGAGTGAAGACCAGTTAAACAAACTATAGGTTTAAATTATAAAGACAATATAAACCTAGCTATGTATCTAACAGAATTTAACAAATTCCTCAACAAAGTCTATAACAATCCATTAACATATTACAAAGCTATAACATGTATAGACAAAGAACAGTGGATCAAAGCTATGAAGGATGAAATACAGTCACTTCAACAATGAAATGCATAGATATATGCTATCCCCCCTATGAATACAAATATAATTGGAACAAAATTTGTCTATAAAATCAAAAGACTGGCTAATGGCTGAATAGACAAATACAAAGCATGATTTGTAGTGCAAGGATACACTCAAAAGAATGGAATAGACTTCTATTCTGACAACTTATTTGCTCTAGTAACAAAACTATCAACAGTACAATTATTGTTATCTTGGGCAGCATCTAAGAACTATGAAATACATCAGATAGATGTAAAATCTGCATATCTTTACAGAGAACTAAATGAGGATGAACTCATTTATGTGAAACTGCTGCCAGGCAGGCTACTTACAGATATTAAACCTGGACAAGTGTTACACTTAAATAAAATGTTATACAGATTGAAACAAGCAGGTAGACAATGGTACAAGAAGATTACCAAACTACTACTTAAGATTGGATTAGAACAAGCTAATTACAATCATACTGTATTTTACAAGAAACAAAATAATAAAACGATTCTTGTAACATTTATGTACATCAACAATATTATGATTATTGGTGAAACTATTGCTATAATAATAGTATTTAAACATGCATTAAGACAACACGTTGCATTTACTAACAGTAACAAAATACATTAGTTACTTGGTATTGAAATAAGCTGAGATAGACCTCAACGAATGATTAGCTTATAACAAAAGTATTATATTGAAAGTATAATCAAGTGTTACCACTTCAAAAACGAAAAGGCACTACAAACGCCTATTACTCCTGGAATAGATCTATCTAATGATACAAACAATATGTATGATACAAACGAAAGTAATAATGAAATGACACTATACATGAATATGGTAGGATCATTAAGATATGTTGCAGATTGTACACAGCCAGACATATCTTATATTACTGGGCAATTAGCACACTACTTACAAAAGCTCTAAACACATTACTACAAAGTAGTGAAACATTACTTTGCATATTTAAAATATACAACAAATTGTTGGCTTCAACTTGGAAGCATGAACACCTTAAAACTATGAGGCTATTATGATGCAGACAGACAAATGACAGAAGGATATAAAGCAATAAATAGCTATGTCTTTCAATTAGCTAAATTGACCATATCTTGGTCAAGCAAACAGCAAAACCTGGTACCACTATCTGTTTACAAAGCAGAGTTGCAAGCACTAGCATATGCTACTCAAGAAGCCATTTGGCTCAAACGATTTGCTGAAGAAGTACTGCAGACTGAATCAGCACCTATTACAATTTATTACAATAATCAAGGTGTAATAAAGAC